TATCTTGAACGCTAAAGGTGAGATGCATGTACGCGCATGTTGAGCGCATAGTCACAGGTAGGTGTAGATGGACTCTTTGACACTCATGTACGGATGTACGTGCATGGCGGTGTTACTTTGCGGTTCGTGAACGCGTGAGCCCTCCCAACAACAGATTCTAACCGTCAATCATACGCCGTAATGACAGCCAGCTGTAGTAGTTAGACTCGGAGGCACTGCCGATCATGGAAGATGACGACATAAATGATACACCCATGTGTCACACATTGCTACTCCTGATCCGGTCGATGTGTACTAGGTACATACGAGAAGAGAACAACATATATTCGCCAGAAGTGCATGGATTGTGGTGAAAAAAATGCTTTTTGGTTTTGGAGATGCGGACCGTTATTCTCTCTCAGTTCCTCGCTGTTGAAAGAGGCAGCTAGCAATGTGGAGATGACGTTGACGGGCACCCAGTCGCTTTCGGTAGTTATGCCTTGTCCTCGATGTTTCGCGCCCGAGAGAGCTCTTGCTGACGGTGAGTGCAGATATTATTTAAATATTGAGGCTTTCCTATACAGATCTTACAAAAACACTGCTTATCAATATTATCGCTATACGTGTAGTACAATGTATCTAAACTACTGCTGTTTCTACTGCCGCGAAGAGAAGCGGAAACCCTCCGCATACCGTGCCCCCGCGGGATTATACTATAGCTTCGGCGACGGGCGCTATGGNGTGTCACACATTGCTACTCCTGATCCGGTCGATGTGTACTAGGTACATAGGAGAAGAGAACAACATATATTCGCCAGAAGTGCATGGATTGTGGTGAAAAAAATGCTTTTTGGTTTTGGAGATGCGGACCGTTATTCTCTCTCAGTTCCTCGCTGTTGAAAGAGGCAGCTAGCAATGTGGAGATGACGTTGACGGGCACCCAGTCGCTTTCGGTAGTTATGCCTTGTCCTCGATGTTTCGCGCCCGAGAGAGCTCTTGCTGACCGTGAGTGCAGATATTATTTAAATATTGAGGCTTTCCTTTACAGATGTTACAAAAACACTGCTTATCAATATTATCGCTGTACGTGTAGTACAATGTATCTAAACTACTGCTGTTTCTACTGCCGCGAAGAGAAGCGGAAACCCTCCGCATACCGTGCCCCCGCGGGATTATACTATAGCTTCGGCGACGGGCGCTATGGGCATTTTTCACGGTGGTTGTGTGTACCGGATCTTATAACTTGATCCGTGAACATGTGCATGCATAAATGATTTCCAAGTTCTGTAAAAAGGGTATTTGCCCGACACGAGATAAGGTGCCCCAAGCCTTATATACTGGCATGTGGTGCCCACATACCCCCCCGGATACGAGCGAGCGGACAGCTCAGCATCGTAGACAAATACGCGGGTACCACGACGCACCTCCCGTAGCATGTACGGTCACCGGAACCCGACCGGCTGGCGACGGACAAAAAACCCATGTACACATGCCCGGGTTCGAACCCGGAAATTTGACATTGTAGGGATGACATCATGCCGCTGACGCCACTTTAAAAAGGGTGTTTGCCCGACACGAGATAAGGTGCCCCAAGCCTTATATACTGACATGTGGTGCCCACAGTTCTGGTGTACGTTATCGTTCCCACTGCGATGGCTTCCGACAGGCTGAATTGATGTCTTCAACGCGGGGGAAAGATACGGGGGATTCAAGGAAACGAGCGCATGCCACGTCCAGCTCGAGCCATGTTCCAGTTGAGAGCAGTCGCGGCGCTCCGAGACAACGGGTAAGTGCTACAACATAGAGTCCGGGGATAGAGGACATACATGGGGTCCCGATCCACCTCTCGTCCGACCTGTTCATTATGGCGTCCGTCATTATGTAGGTGCTATCAGGGACGATGGTACGTATCATCGAGCAGATCCAGCGCGACCTCTTGACCGAGGGAAAACCCCCCGACTTGGAATTGGAATGCTACGCGGCACTCGCGTCGAGGATGGACGCCTCCGTCGACATCTTCAACGGCAAGTAGTAAATGTTCTTTTTTATCCTAAGTCATACTGCTTCTTCCCGTCGCCGTACAGTACGTGAAGGAGCCTGTCGCTTGCCTACTAGTTTCTTAGATTCCTTGTGCCCACGAGCATTGCGTTCTCTCCGTGCGCGCCATATCTCGCCTTCTCACCCGACAGACCCACTGCCCCCATGGGAAATGTGTGCGGGTTTGTGTGTGTGCGTATACATGCAGGGAACTTCGGCCGGCCGGACTACGCGCGCAAGAACGGCCTCGACAAGATGGTGGGCTACATCAGATCGGCCGACGATTCGAAACTAGAACAACTCATGGACATCCTGCGGTTTCTCGACGCGTGGCGGGCCTCGCAGGAGGCTAGACCGACGCTGGGCGACGGCGCCCGGAAGGCGCACTTCACCACCGACCACTCGTGGACCGACATCCGGGTGTGCATCCTCGGCGCCGTCAGCATGTGTCGATACCTGTTCGAGAAAGACTCGAGGTTCAAGATCNGAAACTAGAACAACTCATGGACATCCTGCGGTTTCTCGACGCGTGGCGGGCCTCGCAGGAGGCTAGACCGACGCTGGGCGACGGCGCCCGGAAGGCGCACTTCACCACCGACCACTCGTGGACCGACATCCGGGTGTGCATCCTCGGCGCCGTCAGCATGTGTCGATACCTGTTCGAGAAAGACTCGAGGTTCAAGATCTCCCGGCTGAGCGATGTTCCCCACTTCATCAACCTTCGCTATATAGGCCAGGTA